CCATATGTCAATAAAGTATTTTACAAGCTGTCTGCCGGGATCTATTCTGGCTTCATCAATTTACCTTTCCAGATCATCTTCATAGCAATTGGTTTCCTCGAGCAGTTGAAATGTACGCTGGGCACTGTAGATGAAATGCCATCTTCTCCGTCCATTCCGGCATGCCACGGTCTTTGCAGAGATGGGCTAATATTCTATTTGTAGGATGATTTGAGGTATTGTGAAGTAGAAGGGTTTCTGTTCTATCTTTCTATTGTTTTGAAATAGATTTCTAGCATTGGATCATCGTTCTCCATTGGCATCAATATTTTTTAAATCACCTTGAGTTCGGCATCCACTTCGGTATATAGGTATCGACGACAGATCGGTTCTAATGCTTTCTGATTTTCCCACCTTTTGGCTACCATATAGGTAAATTGTGGTGGAAAATAATCTGTTGTTTCTATTCTGCAGGGATAATCGAAATCATAATCATTCGATTCATAACATAATATTTTTCTTTATTCCTTCATCTTCTGGTGGCTCCAATGCCAATCATATAACCTTGGATCTCCGTCCAAAAGAAATGGATCGCAAGGTTTCGATCTGTTATTTATTCATTATTGGTCTATGGAATGCATTTCAAGTTCCATCATATACGTCTTGATTTCTCTTCCTCGTAGTCTTATAGAAGACGGTTACGAATGGATTCCTTCTCGATATCATAATCGTCCTCTAAAATCATTCCTTTAAAAATCTTTCCGCATATTTTCAGGTTCAATCGGCCACAAGCGTCTGCGAGCGCTACTTGCGGATGGCAGCAAACCTCCCAAACGGCAAAAGGTTCTCCACAGTCCTGCAATAAGGCAAAAAAGCCTTAATTATGAATTCTTGAATTGCTCCCTTGAGCTGCTTGGCCTCCTCCTTCGAAAGCCACAATTGGCAAGCCTCGTCGCCTGCCGCATCGTTGTGCATGTCGTGGTCTTCGATTCCATTCTCTGGGAGCCCTCCTCCTCTTTCTTCTGCTTCTCCGATATATCGGGAATCTTCGTGAAGTCCTCGTCCTCGTCGTCCAAAACTTCGACCATGTAAGTCGGCATCGCTAATTCCTTGGCCTTGATTTATTTTCCAAGAAGAATTTCTTTTCTGTTACCACCTCGATCATTGCCTTCATAGCCTGGTTGTTTATGTCCTCGGCCAGCCATCCCTCGCTCCTCGAACGAGCGATTGCCTCTGTCGCATTCATTGGCAGATTAATTTTCGTGGTTTGGGTTGGAACGGATGCCGTTGGAATGTATTTTGATTTCAAGCCGCAAGTCCGTTGATACCTAGGATTTGATTTCGTTGAATTTGATATAATCTTTGCCCTTTACCTTGGCCTTTGAGATCTTCTTGGTGTATTGGGCCAAGGTGTCGTTGGTTCCCTGTCTTGAATTTTGAGGATGGTGCCAGGTCGCCAAATGTTTTTTAATATTGATAACAATCTTGATCAAATCGTATCATTTTGATCGGGTTGGTTGGAGCTTTAGGCTGAGTCTTGAGCGGAAAAATTGCATTGGAATCTAAAATCTGCTAAAATTATTCGGTTAATCTTTCTTGTAAAAATTATCAAATAGTATAGGAAGAAATATGATATTTTTTAATGCAATAAAACTCTTAAAATCCATGTAATTCTTCATCTAAAATTCTTAAATTATTCATAAATTATCTCTGCAAATCTATTATCCTCTTCAATATTTGGATCATCAGACCTCTCGTGCTCCAAGACGTGGTTCCGTTCTTAAGCTAAGAGCCTCCCCGCCGACGAAAGAATCGAGAAATCGACGATCACGTCGGGGTAATTTATCTCATAATCCGATAGAATAATGTCATTGAAATAAATATGGATATAAATGCATTAATTATACAATATTTTTTATTACTATTAATATATCTTAAATCAATATTTTAATAGGTTATATATAATTTATAATTTTATACAAAAACCTAACGATTAAAATATATGAATAAACAATCAATATATATTTACAATAACGAAATTATATTACGAAAAAACATCTTTCATATTTTCATATGATTTTCTATTTAACAAATTTCCTAAGTCATTTCCAAAAAATTAAACGAAAAACATTATTTCATATAACCCATATAAATCTTAATCATTTAACAATAAATATTAGACAAATCAATATTATCAATAAATATAGAAATACGATTTCGAATCATTAATTTAATATCTATATATTACGGCTTCTATCAGTGTTAAGAAATTTTCTTAAATAAGAAAATATATTCTATCTTTTCGGGAAAATATATTATTTCTAGATTCTATTTTTGTCAAAAATATCGGATCTTTTTAAATACGTATTAAGTTCTAATTTAAAGGGCCCTACCACACCTTAGAAATTACGATATTTATATATCGGGCCGTGGCAAGGAGCCAACAGCTCAATCGATGGGCCACAACCTTCCAAAAAATTCGGAAAACGGAAAATTCCAATCTCTCTCCAGGATCTACAGGATAATTTTTTAATTAGGTACCATTGTAATCGTAATTCGGTGCGTCTAATATTATTCAATTGCGGCCGTAATGGTACCTAATTAAAAATGCATCTTCGTGACACCAAAAATCTAAGATGGGGGGGGGGAAATTCAAAATTGAAGGTTCCGATGGGATTTCGAAAGGGTTTCAAACCAAATTCAAACCCCCCGAAAGGACAAATTGGGAATTCGATAAAATTCGGAAAAAGGAAAATTCCAACCTCTCTCCAAGATTTACAAAATAATGAAGACTCGTTCTTAATTAGATACCATTATAATCGTAATTCGGTGCGTCCAATACTACTCAATTGCGATCATAATAATACCTAATTAAAAATTCCTTTTTGTGATATCATCCCCACCTTGCGTACATATCTGCATCGCACCTCAATGCCCTAAAATAAAAGAATTTATGTAATAAAAATATGCGCAAAAATATACGCTATGTTAGTATGAATTATTACGAATAGCACGTTACAAAATCAAATTCCTAATTTATGTATCGTATCGAATAAAATTAGGAATAATTTTTTCTTATTGCGCAAATATTTTCGATTACGTTAATGCAGATTAGGTTCATCTAAGAATAGAATATCGGACGGGTTTGGATCAACGATATATGTAAAATTCAATATTAAATTAAATAAGATACGCATATTCAATGAATATAGTTATCCAACCTAAAACGGCTATTCAGAAAAAAAATATATCCAAATATAATATTAATATTTTGATATAATTTAGTTAAAATATAACATATAAATATGTATAACATATATTAATTATATTAAACAAATATTAAATTATTTTATATTATTATTATTATTGATCTTCTCCGGACCAAGAACAAAGCGAAAAAAGCTCGAACCCTCCCTCACAAAGCACCTCCGCTAAGCGTCACTGATGGCACGCCGCACCCTCTACCCTTTTCCTGAGGGCGCTCGTGCCGGTAAAGGGCAGCTGGCATTCGACCAACTGACATGTGAACCTTCAAACATGGAAGTGCGTGAACACTCCCCCTTCGTGCAGCCGCTTGGCTGTTGCGATTCAAAATCGCGAGCTTCTGCGAGCTCGCTTCCAGCTCAACCTGCCCTTTGACTTTCCAGGGTGGCCCACTGCGAGCATGGAGTGTACCGCAAGACTTCACCTCGGTCCAGCTTGGAGCATGCCCTGTTGATGTGGGCATAGCCACCCCAGTAGTTCGTCCAGAGGTTCCAATCTCTGGAAATCACCATGTTCTTCTTGCACTCCGGACACCATCTGGAGCGACGGACTTCTCCTGTCCGTGGTGCCCGGATGTACCCACATTCCATTGACCCATGGTGGGCCCTTCCGAACCTCGTCGTGAGGACGACAGGATCTTCTTCATCTCCTGCCGAAGGTGTTGGTCCGGCTGGACTTCTCTTTGGAGCCGCTTGGCCCCTTCCCCCTCCTTGTGCTCTAGCTGGTGTTGTGGCTGCGGATGCCGGATCGGATGATGATGCGGCACCTCTTGACCTTTCTTTTTCTTCCTCCTCCCTTCTCTTTTTCTCTTCTTCTTTCTCCTTCTTTCGCTCCACCTCTTGGCCCCTTGAGCTCACCTGGCCTCGAGGCTGTGGCGATGGAGACGGTCTTCCCCAGATCGTGACTTGAGTCACTGGAGACTGGGTGAAGTGTGTGGAAAGGTGAGCTTGGCCTGGAGACTGAGTTGGAGTGTGAAGCCATTCGGATGCCGACTGTCGTGGCGTCCTTGGAGCAAGAGGCACTGGAGATTGAGTTGGCGAAGGAAGGTGAGCCGGCCTTTTCATTTCTTCTTCTTCATCTTCACTTTCTTCCTTTCTTCTCATCGTTCTTAGCTTCACGGTGCTCCCCTGTGGTGGTCTGGGAAGACTTCGCACTGTCTGCTCGTCATCACTTCGTGATCGGCTTGACTGTGGTACTCCTTCCTTCAGACATAACCACAGGGCGCCCAGGATGGCCACAATGAAGAACATCAATGCCATCCATTCCCACCAAGTGAGATCTTCATCTTCTTCATCTTCTTGGCCCTTCGCTTTTGT